CCACATTCAGACCGATCCACATTCAGTCCGATTACACATAAAACTAAAACCTTAAATTGTGTCCAAGCAGTTTCATTTTTAATAGTTAACCAATAAGATAGATACTGTAGGTAAGTATATTTCAGTTCATATAGAATAACACTAGAATCATAAAAGAACTTGAATTCATTCATATTCAATTAGTTTCTTTAGTTCAGAGACTTGAGAGTTGAGACTCTCAGATTGCTCAATCCACTTACGAATTATCACGTACAATTCCGAACATTGCCACAGCAAAATATGTAAAACATACATTCGATCAATTACTCCAATCATGTAATTTAAAGTTTTGAAAAAACAATTACAAATGCCAAATAAAACAACAATAATAATGACACAAAAACTTGAATTCAGTCAGTCATATTCAATCAATTATCTTAGTACAGAGACTTGAGACTCTCAATATGATTCGGAAACCATACATATTTGTACCACCTATCCTTGATTCCTTCGTATGTGACTTTTCTTGTGACAAAAAAAAAGCACAAAACTCTCCTTCTGTGGACGTTGGTGCATAAATCAATTCATCATCACCAGTGTCACCACATAATAGCAGATACCAGTAGTTAATGTTTTTGGGGATCCTCCAAAAAGGAACTTCAAATTCACTAGGTGACCATTCTTGTTTTTCGGCATCCTCTAAAATCCTTAGTATTGAATATCTTGAAAACCCATCATAAATCCAAGCTAATCTTCCCTTGTAGCTTATCAAACTATGTTTCGGATTAGGTAGATCATCAATCATATCACAGACACAGCCTTCTGGTTTCTTTATCGTTAAGAATTTTTCGGACTTCACATCAAAGCTCACTACAGAACAATCAACCCCGCAGTAGTAAAGAACTCCGTTGATGCATCTCCAAGTTTTCATTGAGGGATGAATAGGGCTGGTTTTGGCTATTCTCCATTTCTCTTTAGCTCCCAGTGTCTTTTTTTGGGAGCATCATATCAAACTTGTCCAATATACTAGTATAAGGATTTTTGGGATCCTGTTGATGCGGAAACGAGAAGAAGACTCGCTTGCCCTCTTCTTTCTTGACGGAACAAGAAAGAATAGACGGCCGAGCCGACGAGTGAACTGCAAACGATTTGATGAAATTTGGAGTGGAGATCATAGAGGACCAGAGTTTCGACACGCAACGGAACCTCACCACGGATTTAGCTGGCAGTCTTAAGAGTATTTCTATGGTCACATCAAGAGGAATCCATGAAGACAATTTGGTGCCATCTTCTTTTTGGGTTTCCATGGCCCTTCTCTTCGTCCCTTTTCCAACTCTTCCTCTATTCATGGTTTTTTCTTTTTCTTTTGGGGGGCAAATCTTCTATGCATCGTTGTTTCTATATATATCTTTCTCCATCCTTACCATATAACTGTTTTTTAGCTAGATTTGTACAATGATTTATATTTTGGAAATAAATTGTTTCTTTCTATCTAAATTTACATTTTCGAGATATAAAAAAAATTATTTTAGTTTTTCTTTCCTATATAAAACATTCAAAATTATGGAAGAAAAAACGAGAAACAGAAAATCACTTTTATTACGTTATTAAATCACGGATTTCACTCACATTAAGAAAAATGTAAACAATTTAGCTAGATGGATACTTAATCACTCAGTGGTGAATCTGGTGATTAAGTGAGTGAAACTATCACAAGTGAATACGTGCACTATAATTTTGACGAGATAATACATTTTTAATGAAATCGAATAGTTCATACTTGGTTTCGTGACCAAGAATAACTATTTACATACACTAACTTAGTAGATTTTTTGTGCTAAGATTTGAACATTTGTGTTTATATCATTTCAATGACGTTTTGGATCATATTGTAATTAGAAAGTGATGAAGTTTTTTACAATCTATCATGACTTCATTACCATGACATTGGTGATTTTTTGATTCGTAAGTTCTTCGTCTATATTACTTGTATGAGTTTTGAAATGGGTGTCATGGAGAACATGGTTCATGCAGAGTCATCAAACATCGTTGAGCAATGGTGATGTTACTGAAGAGAATCTAGGAGTAATGGCTCGTATAGGGCTATTAAAGTTCAAGAACCGTAAAGTTTACGAGGTTAGAGATTTCCCACCTGGTTGTGGATCAAATAACATTAGGCTTATACCAAATTGAAAGTGAAGACTTGTGAGACTGAAACTAATTTTTTTCCTCTTCTTTAACTGAAGTTTTAGTCTCACAAGTTTCGTGTTCGTTCTCGAGCTGAGTTTTATGTCAATTGAACAACAACCACGTGAAAAATCCCTAATGGCATAAACTTTAGGGTTCTTAAACACTATCAGCCCTATATGAGCAATTACTCATTGCTCAATGATGATGATGACTCTGTATATACCATATTGTCCATTACACACATTCCAAAATACAAAATACAAAAAAATTATGAATCAAAATCACCAAAGCTTGGTATTAAGCAATCATTAACAAATTGTGAAAAAGTTTTCATTATTTAACTGTAACTCAAAACGTAACCATTAGTTGACCATATTACAAAATGGAACATAGCTTATGGGGGCAATTCCTAACAAATATAAAACCTAAGGGCCAAAACGATACATGTGTAAAATAAGATCACGACTCATGAGTAGACTCTAACCTCTTTAGAAGCTGGGAAACAACACCCCAGTTGAATCCTCGGTACTGAAGCCACCGGATGACTCTAGCTTTACGAGTTTCTATAGGCAAGTCTCGACCTTGGAGCCACCGCTTAGATGCCTGAACATAAAGCTGATCCACTGCTTCCTTGGACAGCCCGTGGTTTAGTTCTGCTTCTTCATCTCCTTCCTTGCATTGGCGTTTCTCAAAAACCAGCTTTATGGCTGTCTCTGAGTCTTTGTTGCTTATGCCTTTCTTAAACAATGCCTGATCCACACGCAAAATACTCACTTCTCTTTAGTAGTGAAAGATCAGACAAAATTGTTATCTCACGGAAAAAAAAATGTGAATGGCAATTCTTACTTGCTTGATCCGCCTTGGTCCCCAACTTAAGGAAGACCATCTAGATCGAGTGAATGACTCCGCGTACAAGCTATCATTGATAAAGCCTCTGAAACACACGACAAAATGTTGAAAGTGAGACATTTTCTTACTCAGTTTTTAGGTAAAGCGGATAATGTTACAACAAAAGCAACCTAGACCCTGCCTGATGTATCAAAGAACACATGATGCTATGGATCATGATTGAAAAAGAAATCAAGAGGAACCTTACCGAATCTGGAAATCATTGATCACTCTGTCAACGACTTCAAGAGGAAATTTCTTTCCCATGAGCTTCTTTTTCAGGTCAGCTGCTGAATATGCTCTGGAGACATGCAAAGCAGAATAAGATGATAAGAAATCATATACACAGAGAAGAGTGAAGATGAAACAAAAAAACCCTTCTGCAACATTTTAAACTGAAGCTACACAAACTCAAAGTTGCAAGCAAACCTTAAACCGAGATAGCGCATAGCCATGTGCTCTGCCTCTTGCGTGGTTTTGCAGGCTTCTTTGCTACTCTTGGCCTGCTCAGCTTCCATATGTAGTTTGACTTTATCATAAGCTTGTTTGTGTTGTCTCGTAGACTTATAGCCTGTAGATCTAACTTCGTTGCTGCTTTCTTCCAACTCTGCAAAAGGATGAGAGAAACGTGGGTCTCAATTACGCTTGGTTTGAAGACAAAACCTTACCCAAGAAAACATATTTAAATCAAACTGAATTTTAATTTAGGTTTTAAACCTCATTATCCCCAAAGAGTTAGTTGTTACTTGTTACTCTCGAGAAATAATATATTGCAGTGCCATAACCGAGCTTGCATAAAGCAAATACCTTCATTAGAGTCATCACAAGAAGCATCAGAGTACATTTCAGCATCATTTTTAACTCGCAGATGTAAAACAGTACCCTCTCCAGTCTCTTCCTTCACTTTAGACCCCAATACACTATGATCCCATCTACTAGCATTTATACCCTTGTCCAAACTCAAAATACCTTCATCAGAGTCATCACAAGACACATTCATGTAACTTCCAGTATCATTCTTCTCTTGCAGATCCAAAAATGTGCCATCTCTAGCCTCTTTGCTGTTACCCTTAACTTGAGATCCCAACACACTATGATCCAATCTAGTAACATCAAGAGGCTGAGATGTCAAATCTTGAGTAATCTTCCGAGACTTGTTTGGAACATACTTAATCAGACCCGACGAAGTGTAGTCCCGCTGGTCTGAACACAAGATTCTAGGTGCAGAGTGTCTCTTCACCCTACACAATATCAGAAGTGAAAACAGTTTGGATTAAAAGTATGCTTTACTTAAAGATGATCCACACTAGTAACAATCACCATGAAAGTAGATGATCACATAACAGATACAAAACAATCAATAACAGTGAAGAAAGATAAACACTTGGAGCTTCCTCAACAGCCAATTAATTAAATTCTATCAAAGAGATAAACTTTGATACAGATGCAAAATTCAATTGTGACAATACATCGAATAAAATTCAAAGAGGAGAAGAAGAAAAAACCAGATTTATGGGATTTTAATTTCATTTCGGCTATTTTGTATAATGAATTGAACTAAAATAATTGACTGACCATGGAATAACGAAGACGCGATGTTGAATGGCAATCGATAAACGAAACCCTTGTTTCAGCATTTCCCAATTGAAATCTCCCAGCCGTTCTGTACTAACCCTAGATAATTTGTTCCGACATTCAAAGTTTCTAGCTGCTAGAGTGCGCGTGGGACGTCTAGCTGCTAGAGTGCGCGTGGGCCGTCTAGCTGCTAAACTGCGCCTAATTCTTTCATTGCGGCGGGTGATAAAGAGTAAATTAGAGTTTGAGATTAGAAGAAATTGTGTATTTATTTAAAACGACAAAAAAATGGAAACTGTTATCTCAAAATCATAATGGATTTTTTTAAAACGAAAAAATAATATGGAAATTGTTATCTCAAAAAGAAATTTTAGCTCACAGGTTTGTGCAATTTAAAAAGATAATATAATTGGAAATTAATCAGACGAAAAGAAAAGTCATAAATGGAAATCATAATGGATTTTTTTTTAAAATGGAAACTGTAATCTAAAAAATCCCACTAGAATTAGGGACCGACAAAGAGTCTCTACTATAAATATATGAGACTAGACCATTAAATCATCGATACAATTTCTTTCACAACAACAAAGAGAGAAAAACAGAAACCACCAGATTTGATTTTTATTGTTTTTGTTTTATAATCATGTCTAAACCTATACGCTTGGATTACAATCACAAAATCACACACGATCCTGAACCAGAAGATGCGGGCACAATTAGAATCAATGCAAGGGTCTTCCGTGAAGCTGATATCTTGACATACACGACGTTTTCGTTTCCCGACGAACTCATCAACGATGAATGTCAAAGCAAAGTGGTTTTGATTCATCTCTTGAAGGAAGCTGGGATGAGCGACTACGATACTGCACATATGATGTATCACTTTATTGGTTATGTTGCTGAAATAACTTCTTCCGCAAGTGAAGGGTATTCTCCAGGGTGTGCTTTAGAAGTGTCGTTGGATCTTCTTCTTATCGATGAGAGTTATATTGAAGAAGCGGTAAAATTAAAGTCTCGTTAGAGTACGAAATCAAACAGGATCTTGAACCAGAAGATGCCGGCACAATCAGAGTCGATGCATTGATCTTCTGTGAAGATGATATCTTGACTTTCACGACTTTGTCCTCTGCCAACGAATTCATAATCGATGATCGTGACGAGTGTCGAAGCAAAGTAGACTTGAATGATTTCTTGAAAGAAGCAGGGATTAGCGACCACAGTATTCAACTTGCGATGTATCAAATTGACTATGTTGCTCAAATAACTTCTTCCGCAAGTAATGGGTATTCTCCAGGGTGTGCTTTACAAGTGTCGTTGAATCTTTTTCCTCACGACGAGCCTCATGATATCGAAGAAGTGGTTCAAGTCTCGTTTGACGAGACCGCTAATATCTGTTTGGGACCAGCAAGCAAGCTCGTGGTCAAGTCCTTAACCAGGGAAATATACGACAAGATTAATTATACAGGCGAAAGATGCACAATTTGTCTGGAAGAGTTTAACAATGGAGGAAGACTTGTGGCTTTACCTTGTGGACATGACTTTGACGATGAGTGTGCCGTAAAGTGGTTTGAGACCAATCACGTTTGTCCACTGTGTCGTTACGAGTTGCCATGTGAAGAAGAGCAATGATGAACTAGTCTTTAAAATTAAAACTATGATAGAATTTTTACGAGCTTTTCTTCTAATCATTCTACAACAAAAGTGTTAACAATAAACCGGTAACATACTCTTTCGATAAATTTTTGTGATCCTTAATGCTTCGGACTAGAAATTACAAAAAAGTTCAGTTTGTTTTGTATAACTAACCGGCATATAGAAACAAGTCCAACTCTATGCTAAACAATTAACTAGCTGACGAAACTAAATTTTTTGACATGGTCCACATGGAAATTCTAGTTCTTTGAAACATATTAAAAAAGAAAAAAAAAAACTCTTCTCCAAATTTTTTATTCAAACTTTGACAGCATATAGAACATGACAATACTTGGGCGACGAATCGTCATCTTCCACATCATGATCCTCACCTTCACCATCACCATAGCCACCATTAAAGCTAAGACTTTTAGATTCGAATCCAGCTTTAGGCTTGAAAACAAACAACCCACTAGACGAACCAGAGGTTTCAAACAGCCAATCATGAACGTCCCAAAAGATCTCCAAAGAAACACCATCACTCACAGTCAAAACCTCATTCCCTCTAAATCTCCAATTCAAATTCATGATCCTAATCGCCGGCACACCGTCCACCGTGATCCACATCTCTGGATCGCTAGGACCCGACAGAGATGTCTCGATCACCACCTCGTTCTCCCGACGCGACTCTCCACCACCAAACGCCGTCCGCGTGTAGAAAACACGTTTTCCGTGGACGTGTTCTTGCTTGGAGACCAAGGCAGCTTCTGTGGCTGAAGGGTTCTTCTTTGTCCTCTTCAAAGCTTCGTTCTTTAAATCCCCCATCGTTAAAATGGTTGCGTTTTGGGATACGAGAGAGACGTAGAAGCCAGAGGAAGGTTCAGGGAAGTTTGAGAATTTGGCCTGACGAAAATCCCAGTATACGTCAACCCTAGCCCCGTTAGCTTCTAAACTCTTGAGACCCTTTTTGGCCCAAAATGAAGATCCTGAAAGATCTATCTTCACCGGTTGATGATGATTATGTTGCTCGTCTTTGAGATTCTCGATTTTGATGGTCAAGGAATGTGATGACATGGTTTTGGACCAAGTGACGTCTACGTTTTGTGTAGTTTTGGCGATTTCAACTACGTAGAGTAACGAGACAGAGCTGGATTGATTAAACATTTCTCGTAAGTTGTTGTGTCTTAAAATCTTTATAGGTATAAATGAGGCATGAACAAAACCCAAAGGCTTGGCCTCAGGTATATAATTGTCATTGAATTGTTGATTTTGGAGATTTAAGAACTCTTGATTGTTTCTCAAGAGAAAATCTTGCCGACCTGAATTTGTTTGGTGAAACGAACTAAACCGAAGGTTTTTGTTTGTTTGGGATTTACTATTAATAGACTGCTTCTAAATTTAGATTTTCATGTGTCTTAGAGTCTAGACCCATAATTATGACCTTACCTATCTTTAGTAGCCCAATCAGAGCTTGTTAGAGAATATTCTTTTAATCACCTATCTATCATGCTTAAATTAATTTCAACGAACAATGTGTAGAAGGTAAAAAAAAGCTTCAATGAAGAATGAAGAATGAAGAATACATAAGAATAAATATCTTCAATAGTGTGTTTACATGTTAATTATATCCTCTTCTTTTTTTAATTTCTTTTTACATAGTTGTAAACCATGTTCAAAAAATCGCTAGGCACTAGTCGGGCGGTGAGGGTGGGCCTAGCCTAGCGCCTAGAAAGAAAATGGGAAATTAAACAGAGATTAATCGGGGACTAGTTTTAAGGCTATTTAATATTTTAAAAATATATTAATCCATTATAAACAAGAAATTTATATAATATTATTTTTAAAATTACATTAATACATGAAAACAAGAATTTAAGGTCAAACTTATGATTTTTATACAAATTATGAACATAAGTGGAACATTTTGAATTTTAGATCCAAAAAAAATATATATATATAAAAAAAAAAAATTAGGCTAGACGCCGTCTAGGCGGACAAAAATCTTCACCGAATTTTTTTACCAATTTGGATAAAATCGCTGTAGTCCCTACCCAATCAGCGTCTGGCTAGGCGGCAGATTTTTAGATTAGAGGTTGTAATTAGTATAAGGGTCAAAGTTTTGGTCAAATTTTGATTAAAAAAAAAGGTCTCATCTAATGAATATAAGGGCCAAAATTTGACAAAACTTTTATGGGCTTCTTAAACCCAATCGGTAAAAATATAAATGGAGTTATAAAACGGTGGCGTTTTGGACGGCGACATAGATAAACCCTAAGCTTAAAACCTTCATAAAACAAAAAAATCTTCCTCCGAAGCAGCAGCTCCTCTTCAGTTGTTGTGCCGTCGTCCCGCCATCAGATCGCAATCAACGAGTTCGGGTACTCTTCAATCTTCAATAATTTGTTTTGATTTCCTCTTAATTTTCGATTGATTTCTCTCTTGTAAGCTCTCTATGAGCTCAATTAGAATTCTAATTGCATCAGAATTTCTCTATGTTTTTAATTTCAGATATCTGTGTAACGATTCAAGTTGTATCTCTTTGGTTGTGTTTATTCTTCTGATATAGATTTGTCGACCCGTAGTTTTTAGAAATTTATCTTCAAGTTACTTTTATTTACGGTATCAAATCTGATAATTTTGGGATATTGATCTGTAATTGTTGATTCATAGGAAATACATGATTTTAAGATTTAAGAGTGTGTTTGGATGCTTATGGATGTTTTATTCATAGCTTGTAGGTAATTATCACAATTGAAGAAATGGCAGAGTCTACTCAGATGGAAGTTGAGACTGCAACAGGAGGAACTGTGTCATTGCCTCCTAAACCAACCTTCAAGCCTTTGAAAGCGCATGAAATGTCTGATGGTAAAGTTCAATTCAGGAAAATATCTGTACCACCAAACCGATACTCGCCTCTCAAGAAAGCATGGTTGGATATCTACACACCCATTTACGATCAGATGAAGGTTGACATTAGGATGAATCTCAAAGCCCGCAAAGTCGAGCTTAAAACCCGAGCTGACACTCCCGACATCAGTAATCTCCAGAAGTCTGCGGATTTTGTACATGCTTTCATGCTGGGTTTTGATATCCCTGATGCTATCTCTCTTTTGAGAATGGACGAGCTTTATGTTGAGTCTTTCGAGATCAAAGATGTGAAGACTCTTAAAGGTGAGCATTTGTCTCGAGCCATTGGGAGATTGTCTGGTAAAGGAGGGAAGACAAAGTTTGCTATTGAGAACTCGACCAAGACGAGGATTGTGATTGCAGACACTAGGATTCATATTTTGGGAGCTTTCTCTAATATTAAAGTCGCAAGGGGTTCACTTTGCAGTCTTATTATGGGATCTCCTGCTGGGAAAGTTTACTCTAAGCTCAGATCTGTCTCTGCTAGATTGAACGAATAGTTTTGAATGGTGATATTTTGCAACATTAACTTGATTTTTCGAGTGATCTTTGTAATGAAATTTTGAAGAAACAAATGTTATGGTGTTCTTTATAAAATTTGTTGTGGGATGCAAATTGTTATTTGAATGCTGATGTTGCTATGGATTCTTTTGAAGATTGTATCCCTTTATAAAAAAGGAAGACTGATAGAGCAGTTGAATTAAAAGAAATAAGAACACTTGAATTGCATTTCTATAAATCCTTAAGTCTGCTTATTCGACAGCATAAACAACTGGAGAGGTGACTTGAAAGACATGTTCTTGCAGATACACCTTTCCTATGTTTTGTAAAGAAGAGCTATAAAATACAAAAAAAAAAAGACAAGAAAAAACGAGTCTCTTTAAATCACAATTTGTTGGCCTCTGGTATATGGGACCAGTTTAATTTAATCTTCAGCCGCCAAAGAGAAACCCAGCAGCTTGTTCTTCATTTCCTTCAAACAATCTAAGAGCTTGTATCACTGCGTCGCGGGAGAACCCTAATTCCACAAGCTTTGCAATCTTGGCTTCAAATTCAGGTCCCTGTGGATTATGTGATGAAATGATTTATGGAGATTGAAAAGGAATCAAAAGAAGTGAGACTGAAACTTTAAACACAGATTTTTTACCTCTGATGTGTTCTGCCTTTTCGGTTGTTGACTCGTTGGGTTTGCAACCGTGTTATTATTCTTCTTCTCTGTAAACCCAGATGGAACCTATGGGACCAAAAGTTTTTGATCATAACCAATTTTTTGTAATATAGTTCATCAAAACCAAATAAGATAGTATGCAAAAATTCTTACCGTTGCTCCAGAGCTAGATGCATCATTCAGAACACGTTCTTCATCCAGAAATCGGGAAGGGATGTCTTTCTCTGAAGAAAGTACGGTTTTTGTCAGGTTAATTGAAAACAAAGGCAACAAATATAAGAGGGCTCATAATCATCAAGATTTGAGATGGTAGTAGAGCACTAACCTTGCAAAAAGGGAACCGAGACCTCTCCTCCTCCAACAGTCATGACGTTTTCCTTTAAATCTATAGTGCACTACACATAGCAAGAAAGAGACTAACGGCTTTGCATTTGGTTGAAACAGATCCAATAAATTCAAAGTCAAAATATGGAGATATTACCTGATGCTTACGCAGCATATCCAGGCCAAATAGAAATTCCATGTTAGGTGAGTCCAGCACCACGAATGAACACGGGTAAAAGTTATTTCCAATCTGCAAGGTTCGAGATTTTCAGTTTCTGATGCAAAGAATAATGAAATAGAAAAACAAAGGGGAAAACATTATAAGAAAAAGATTGGTGGTGTTTACCTTGATAGGAGCAACATGAATGCGGCCCAATATCTCTGACTGGCCAACACCATGGGCAATACCTTTATAGCGTTGATCCATAAGTCTCAGCAATCTGAAAGTAAGCATTCATCAAGACTCGTGAGTTATCACATCGTTCTAGGTTAAAAGAAGTACCAGAGGAAATAAAAAATGCAAGTTACCCGCATCTCTCAGCACAACTCTTGGATATAATTGTCGACTGTGCACCACTATCAACAAAAGCCTGGAGATGGTGTATAATATGGGTTTAGAACAAAAAATGTGATCTAAGGAGTGCTCAATAATGCGTCTAAGCGCACTGATAGACCGATAAAATTTGAAAACAGATAGTAAGGTGAAAAGAGGTTATATTCTGGTTGCCAAATTCTACCTTCAAAGGTACGCCATTGACCTCCATATCCACATACAGCATTATCTAAGGAATAATAAAAACAAAAAACAAATGAAATCAAGTCTGTGTACAAAAAAGGTTAAGGAATTTCAGAAGCATAAACTAAAACACAAGCATGCATACCACCCGAGCAAAACCTTCAGGATTATGTTCAAGGGCAGCTTCCCAGTTCTCATCAATTCCTTTCTGCTCAAATGTATCAAGACAGCACCAAAAGTCAGAAATGACACAAAAATGTAACAAGCAAATTAGGAGAACACAAGAACCTAACCAAAGTGAAGGATTGCATTCAGGAATCACCAAAGAGTTATTTGCAACTAAAGTAATACAAGGGTCCATTACATGTAACTTAAGTAAGAATAATTAACCTGTCGAATTGCAGCTTCAATTTTCTTCTGTGCTTCAACATCAAAAGGATCTGCATACAGAAGAGCCTGCAAGGAGGGAATACATAAGCAGAATTCTTTGATAGTTATAGTGGTAGATGTAACTCTTTTAAAGCTAGTTATCCTGAAACTCATTTATTTCGAAAAAAAGGCTTACAAGTTCCTCTTCCTTCTGACGCTGTAAAACAGATCGCTGACGATGCCGAGCGCGCAAAACATCCTGTAACTTATTTAAATCGCTTCCAGAAATGACTTGTGCAAGCTCAGGATCATTCTACAATTCACAACATCAGAGCCAAGGAAACACAGTCATAAAACAAAGGCCAAGAAGAATTTTCTTAGTTCTAGTTACCATAAATTCACACCTGAAATAGCTGTCCCATAAGATTAGAATCCCCACGAATGTGTTGTTGAAAGGCTGCAGGGTTCAAAGCTGACCCATCAGGATTCATGCCCAAATCACTCCCCGCCGCACTAGTGGCACTACTGAAGAAGAGCAAGCAAATGAGACAGACAAAGGATCATAATCACAAACATCAGTTACAAAATTTCAAAATAGAGAAGCAGGAAGAAATCAATCCAACGTACCCAGATGAGGCATTGGAAACCATCATCATCAATAAATCATCATCCTTAACGCCCAAGGCACTCAATTTATCGGAATTCCCCATCTCGTTTCCATTATACAACAGCTGCTGCTGCTGAATCGGAACATTGGACTGCTCATTGATGCAAACAAAAAAAACAAAGAAACTTTTAAGTCCCAAAAACCCTAAACCCCAGATTTCAGCAGAACTCAAGCTTCGATCTTTAATATCTTCTCAGTAGCAAGCGACACAATTCCAAATACAAATCGACGAAAGAGATCTGAAAACTCTTACCTCAACCTCGAGCAAAGCTTTAACATTCTCAACCTACAGGACAGTAACACTAAGGATCAGCAAAAACAAAACTTTCGAAAACGTCGACTAATGAGTGCTAAAGTAGTGAAACCCAAGAACCTTCATCGATCAATTCGACAAGTACATTGTGATTAAGAAGCCGAAGAATCAGGAAAGTTAGGTTTTTTCAGGAAAAGAAACTTACAGTCTCCTGAGAATCGACATCGAGAGTGATGATTTGTTCACCGGCGGTCATGACAGTGATCCTCATCTTGTAATCGTCGACTGTTTGGTTTCTGGGTCTCCCTCTTTACTTGCTTTGGTCAATTTTATAAATCAGAATCTCTGTGACTTCCTGAGATGGCTTTACTTTGGCTTATAAGGAAAGCCAAACCATGGTCACCTTAAACCCGCCTTTTGATTGAGAAGCTTCCAAGTTCCAACGAGGTCAGTCTTTAAATTCCGAAACTACCCCGTATTGGTTAAATCCCGAAAGTACCCCTCGATCTCTTTAAATCCCGACCGTTTCCTCTTAATGGTACTTTTACTAGTAATCCTTTATTTTCAACAGTAATTAACTTATTTGTTTCTTGATATAGACTGATTTAAGATTTAACTTTATACATTATTTTAATCAAATCGGTATGAAAAGTTTATTGTGTATTAGGAAGAGGTTTAGTCGTACATCGAGAATCTTACTTTTTCATATAGATAAGAACAATAGTTATTTCCTTTTATCCTCTAAAGGATTTTCTAATGGAATATAATTAGGCTACTAGGCATCTTATTCTAGTTATTATCTGAAAAATAAATATGGTTTTAACTTTATCTGCTCAAAAGCTGCGGAAACTTTTAAAATATGATAAATACGAATCACATACGTTACGTTTTGTTTGGTGGGGGTCAAATTGTATTAAAATAAATCATAATCATGTTAATAATAAGGTCAAAACTAAATTCTAATTAATGAAACATTCGAATGCACAATGAGTGAGTCCATCCATGTGAGAAACTGGGAAAAGTAATAAAAAAAAAAAAAAAAAGCAACAAAGATTAACAAAACCTAAAGAATCAATGCTATACCCAAATTCGTCGAATTCAAAGGCAAAACGACGATTTGAAAACAATTGAGATCATCACAGCTAGTTAATTAATACCACCGCCGGGAGCTGGGAAACCGTAACCGCGACGTCCAACGCCACCTCCGCAACTAAATCTGGGATCGCATTCGAGATGAACTGATTCATGGATCTTGTGAAATCCATCCCTGAAGACACCGAATCCGAATAGAAACCCAATCGCGATCACCACCAGAAGCAGACACGTGCACAGCATGCAAATCCGTCCACAACACATCTTCTTCCCCCTTTGTTTCTTCTCTTCGTCACTGTTTTTAAAAAATTAGTCGCCGGAGATTCCGAGATTTGTCCACGATTTAGGTTGAACAACTCTCTAATATAGAGAGAGAGAGAGTTTTTGTTTGTTGGTTTTGTTGGCGAGAAACCTGGAGAGAGATAGAGGATAAATTTAGTGGGAGAGAAAGCGAGATATAAAGGAATTGTGATTGTGCGTGTGGACGTTACGCCTATTTCTTGCTTTTAAAGCTAATCAAATTATCCAACACAACGCAACAACAACGGTCTCCTTATTTCCTTTTCCTTCTCTATTTATGTTTCTCTTGATTGGCTCAATTATTTCCTTAATTAAAGACTTTATCTATATATTGGGCCTAAAGGCCCATTAGTGAACTGTAAAGTAAAATTTCCATTATTTTTTTAAGACATATTTCCTTTTTTTCTCTTTAGGCGGTGGTGGTCATAAAACCAGGCCTATATATATATGTGTAGCGACTCTGTTTCGTTTTTCCCAGAGACCTACGAATCCTTCGGCTGCGATCTCTAGGGTTGTTTCCTTTTTGTAGCCGCTGGATTGTTTACCAATTGGCGTAGGTTTCGTTACTTTGGTTTTCGATTTAGGGTTGATCGTTAACAAATAAAAATTGGAGGTGCATGATGATATTCGGATCTAAATCGGTGTATACAAATGCCTCGGCTCAGGAAAAGAATGGTGGTGGTGCATCCGATTTGGTCCTGAATCGTTTAATACAAATCCCTCGGTGTCCCGGTAAGAGAATTATGGTGGTGCATAATAATTGGTCCCGCGCGAACCTCTGTTAAAAAAACCCTTATTGGGAAAGACCGAAAGAGTGTGGTGCATGATACGTTGGTCCGAGATTGTTCAATAGTTGCCTTGGTTAAAAACCAGATCGGTATAAAAAGCCTCGGTTACAAATAAATTGGTGGTAGTGCATACTATTTGGTCCCGATTCTATTCAAATGCCTCTGTTAAAAACCCATTCTAAGTTTATCTCGGTAAGCTTATGATTGGGAAAATTATCTTGGTAAGCTTATGAGTGTGGTCCCTGATCCCTTTTGCTATTCAAATGCCTCTGTTAAAGAAACCCATTCTTGCTTATCACAATAAGCTTATGATTGGGAAAAGAGTGTGGTGCATGATAATACTTAGTCCCGATTCTATTCAAATGCCTCTGTTAAAACCCAATTCTAAGCTTATCTCGGTAAGTTTGTGATTGGGAAAAGAGTGTGGTGCATGATACTTGGTCCCGATTCTATTCAAATGCCTCGGTCAAAAACCCATTCTAAGCTTATAATTGTGATAAGCTTATGATTGGGAAAGAGTTGTGGTGCATGCATGATACTTGGTCCCAGTCCCAGTTTGTTCTAACAATTGCCTTACTTAAACAGGCTTATAAATGATTAAGGGTATGGTGCATGATACTCTGTCCCGGATTCTTTATTTGAATGCCTTGGTTAAAAGGTAAAAAAAAACCTATTGGAAGCTAATCTTAATAAGCATGGGAATGTGATAAGAGTGTGGTGCATGATACTTGGTCCCGGATTGTCCGTACAAATGCCTCTGTTAAAATCCTAATTGTAAGCTAAACTTATAAATGGGAAAGAGTATGGTTGGTTCATGATACTATGTCTGGATGGTCTATACAAATGCCTCGGTTAAAAAACATGTGGTAAGCTCATAACAAGGTTATGATTGGGAAAGAGTGTGGTGCATGATACTTGGTCCCATATTGTACAAAAACAGTTGCTTGGTTTGCAAGCTAATTTCAATGCGTTCATAAAATGAAAAAGAGATGGTGCATGATATACTTTGGTCCCAGATTCACTATTTAGATGCCTTGGTTAAAAAGTAAAACCCATTGTAAGCTATTGGAAGCTAATCTTAATAAGCTAGGAATGTGAAAGAGTGTGGTGCATGATAGTCGGTCCCGGTTTATCAATACAAATGCCTCTGTTCAAATCCCAATTGTAAGCTAAGCTTATAAATGGGAAAGAGTATGGTTGGTTCATGATACTAGGTCCGGATTGGGAAAGAGTATGGTTGGTTCTTGATACTAGGTCCGGATTACAAATGCCTCGGTAAAAACCCCATAAGCTAATCGTAATAAGCATATGATTGGAAAGAGTGTGGTGCATGATACTTGGTCCCAGTCCCAGATTGTTCTAAAAATTACCTTTGGTTAAATACCAGATTGCAAGCTGATGTTAATAAGCTTTTACACATGAAAATGATTATGGTGCATGATACTAGATCCCTGATTCTCTAGTCAAATGCCTTGGTTAAGCTTGGGAATGTGAAAGAGTGTGGTGCATGATACTTGGTCTCGGATTGTCAGTACAAATGCCTCGGTTAAAACCCTACTGTAAGCTAAGCTTATAAATGGGGAAGAGTATGGTTGGTTCATGATACTAGGTCCGGATTGTAAAAAAAAACTGTTGTAAGCTAGTCATAACAAGCTTGTGTAAAGAGTGTGGTGCATGATACTTGGTCCCAGTCCCATATTGTTAAAACAATTGCCTTGGTTAAAAACCATATTGCAAGCTAATATCAATAAGCTTTTGTAAATGAGCTTGGGAAGGGGAAAGAGTGTGGTGCATGATACTTGGTCCCGGATTGTCCGTACAAATCCCATTGTAAGCTAATCATATGAACGGGAACTGGTATGGTGCATGATACTTTGATTCCTGATCGTCTATTCAAGTGCCTCAGTTAAAAGAACGCATCCTAAGCCAATAGGTGAATGCTGTTGCATGGCACTTTGTCCCAAATTGTCTATTCAAAGGGCACGACTCCGTTAAAAAAACCATTACAAGTTCATCAAGAGCTTATGAATGGGAAGGTGTAGATGGTGGTGCATGCAGAGCCGGCCCTTCACACAGGCAGATGAAGCATCTGCTTGTGGCCTCCAAATTATATAGTTGATATTCGGCCGAATTTTTCTGAAAGTTTCATTGGTTTTACTGGTTAAGACTAAGAGTTACTCTTCCAAGGGTCAAGGGATCGAATCTCCATTTCATTTTTTTTCTGTTTTTCAAGTCTTTTTCAAAAAAAGTAATGTATAGTAGGCCAAAAAAAAAAATGGGCTTGTGGCCTTAATATCTTCAGAGCCGGCTCTGGGTGCATGATATTTGGTCCCGAGAAGATTATAAAATTGCCTCAGATCATCAAGAACTGATGAATAGGACAAAGATGCATGATACTCTGATCCAAATGTCCATAAAAATGCCTCATTGGTTATAAGATCCATACTGTCAAGCTGATTAATGGAAAAAGGGTGGATGGTGGTGCATGATACTTGGTCCCGAACTGTCTATAAGCATCGGGTTCGGCTAAAAATCAATCATAAGCTCATTTGAGCTTTATGAGTGGTGGTGCATGATAGGAATATGTTTCGTCTTGATTTATCAAATGCCTCGGCTCGGCTTAAAGTCCTTATACTCATAGGGAGCTTATGAATGGTAAATGGTGGTGCATGATTGGAACTATGTCCCGTGTTCATTTATAAAAATGCCTCGACTCGGTGAAAAACTCTTGATAAGCTAAGCGAAGTTTAAGAATGAGAGAAAGCCAGAAAGGTGGATGGCGGTGCATGATAACTAGTGGAGAGAGGGGTTATTTGATAATGATCAGCTATAACACATCACAAGTAATTGGAGACTAATGCGTGAGAAAAGGGTTTAAACCAATTCTTTTGGTAGAATTCAAATGGTCTTAATTCTAGATGGTGTTGTCAACATGTTAATCTTAATCTCTAAAACTATTTAGAATTTGCATGCTACTTTCATATTTTGTAAAAAGAGACTGATTTTCTAAAAATGGTTGTTATATTGTGCAGGTAATAAAGGTATTTGATCTTGGAGCAACAGAAATACGAGAAGTTTCTTCCTCGTAGTCGTTTATTGATCCATGTAAGGTTGATCATGGTGAGTAATTGTTAGTATATATATTCTATAAGAGGTGTATAGTGGATGAAAGAACCTAATTGATGTGTGTTCTTTAAAAACCACAACATAACATGAAGATTATCTGATTGTGTTGCTGAATTTTCTTTTGCAGGACTCTCCCCTATAGATCCATTCCTTCAGAAGTGTCTGACATTTCCATAATTCCTTAATTATTTAATTTGTTTTTGTGGTTGATCAGGTGATTTGATTATAACTTGTAGAGAATCTTACTGGACTGAAAAAGCATGAAAACACAGGTTTGGTATCGCCTCTGGAGAATCTTGATGAAACATGAAGATTATGTTTTGATCTTGAAGCAACAAGATGTCAATGCCCTGTCTTCTTCTTCTTACAATTGATGGAATCGTAAAAGGACATTACGTTATGCATACAGTTGAGTTTGAAGACATCAGTTGAATCTACTCTGACACGAAAACAGAGAGATTGAAAACAATTACAGAGCAAAATCTTGATATATATTACTCGGTTTAGTTCCTCAAGAACCTAGTGTGGTTCCATTTGCTTTGTCAGGTTTCCAACATAGGCCATGTTCATCTCTACTACAACCGGATAGAAGTTTCTTCAGATTATCTCTGCATTGATGGTGATATACTTCAAGATATTAGATATCCAAGAATCATTCTCTCTTCTTCTTCTTCATCTGACAATTGCAGGTTTCTGAATAAGAGCAAAGTTGGTGGAGACAACGATGGTGAAAGAAAGTATAGTCTGCTTTTCTTTTCTTAAGTTACTCGCTAAGATAAATCTTAGAAGCCAAATATGCACCAATCACTGCAACAAGTTATGGTAACAAGAAAAAATTCACAAAGAGTAGTTTAAAGCAGAGAGAATCTCCGGAATCAGAAGGGAATAACTCGTGCTTACGTGGACTGATATTAAGTTATTGGGCTTAATACGTACCATTAAGGCCCAAACTAATGTTGCGCGGTGAGAGATCTGAATTTATGCAGAAGCGTCCTCACATTTTATTACTTTGCGCGATTAAAACCCCATAACTTCTAGTGATCGAATTATGCCCCACTATCAAAAAAGCAAGTCTACAAAAGTTCTTTAGCTGTTCTCACTTTCAAGTCATCATCGTCTTTCTCGTCGTCTCTATTCTTGCTTTTCGCGCTTCCCTCTCTACGTGACTTTCGATTTCTTCTTCAGATCCGCCGAGTCTTCTTTTTGTGAAATCTTTTCTAGAACCTCCACATTCAATTACACTTCTCTATTGATCGATATCGCAAACCCTAGATTCGGTGATCTTGAATCTGCATCAAATCCATGGCTTCTTCACCTGGTAATACTAGCCCTCACAATCCTCCTCCGTTCGATCTCAGTACTATCTTCAAACCCTCA